CGTAGAGGGTTTTGTACTCATTATCCGAGTAAACGCAAAAGGAAGATAGCAAAGCTGAGGAATTTTCTCAGTGTGCAAGATCTGGATGTCGATTCTCCGAAGAGGATCGGGCAAAAATCCTCCATGCCAATTCTCTATTTGGAGTTGACCGGCTTTCTCGCACCCGTTGGAAGTATTGCAATACATGTGCAGTGCTTCGCGGAATTCGTCAGTCTGCTTTGAAGAGGCACAAGAGACGGACCTCTCAAGACGCCCTCCTGCCAACGCGGGCAACATAGTGCGCTCGATGTATTATTTATTTATATCGTTTTTTGTACTTTTTTTAAATTTCTTGATTTCTTTTATTTTAGTCGAATAAATATGTTACAAATATTTTTCATCTTAACGTACGTCTTGCTGAAAGTTGCAGGTTTACCTTGGTCAGCCGGACGTACAACCGTCCTGAATGGGAGTGTAACAAGCCCGGTGGCTCAAGCCTTCCCACTTCATCGCGAATATATTAATAAATATTCGCATATAATTTCCACCACTGTACTTACTTTTCTACTGCTTTCTGCAAAAAAAGGTCTAGTAGTAGCGATTACAAGTTTTCGTCCCGCTTTTATAAGAAATCTTGCCATCTTGAAGGACAAAACAGGGTTATTGGTCAAATTGATAAAAAGAACGAGCAACGCGGGTATTGATTTAATCAGGAGAATACTTGAACTTGAGCCAAATACCGAGATAGAGCACAAAAGAATGTCTCTAGTGATAGAATACACGGAATCAACAATTTATCTGGTCTGTGCCATTGGGCAAAAATGCCGGCGTGCAAGGTACATTTTGCAGAGCTGTAACTTTGAAGGAAACAAAACGATGCAACGTGTTTTTCATGAATTAACGCGAGAGTATGATGGAGAATCAAAAATGGAAAATGTTTTCTTCTTTTTTTTTTAATTTCCCCTTGAAATCATTGTTAACTTTGTAGTTAGAACAAGTTTGGAGCGGCATAAAAATTTCTTTGAGATAAACCAATAATTTGTATATCATTCGAAAGAACGTTTTAATATGATCGACATACATTTTAATGCAGCTATTCAATTTTTGTACATAACGGATCAGAAATCTAGTGATAAAACGTCAAAGGAGCCATGTTTGCGAATGTTTGACACGAAATGTATGACCTCCACATTGCTACACATACATTATTCAATAGTTCCCATGGTGTATTATAAGTGCGAAATATTTGAGATTTGGTATATTTGTAGTTTGCGTGGTAGGTCTCACCAAACATGACATAAACGACAACTTCAAAAATCAAGTATGCTGTTCTGGCGCAGTCAATTTTTCTTTTCTCTCTAAATATGTTTTTTGTAAAATCCTTTTTTGGTTACGTTTCCTGCACATGTTGAGGAGTAACGTACAAAAAAAATTAACGAATACAAAAAATACGGCCGGACTCGCGTGCATGATGTTATCCCAACAGAGCGTAATACGTTTTAAAAAGCAATAGGTAATTGAAGTAACCCGTTGCCAATATTTAGTAACAGAATTACATTACAAGTTACTGCCGCAGAAAAGTAACGTGGCAATTACAAAATTGCTTTAAAAAGTAACGGATCACAACTAATCCGTTCCTTGTAAAGCCGGGGTCGTACTGCTTATCAGTGACGTGATTGCTGCGCCTTTTGCGCCAAACTGCGTCAAAGTACTACCCTGCTACATCCTGCTACACTTCGAAAAAATGCTATGAATTTGAGTCGACGTTGCGCCAAAACGTAATTTCATTTTGTTAATGCTGAAAATATAACAGCTGAAGACCCGCTGAACGGCCGGATCGTTACGGTAGGCTTGTCCGAATTTTCAAAACTTTGGATTTTTAAGTAACGTACTGCTCGATTATATTTCTATATCAGATACTCTGACCGTACTCGGAGGTCGCTTAACATTCTCTGTTCGTGGTCTGTTCTGATGGGTAACGTAGCTTAGTTGAGTGCGTGCGTGCCTCTCGTCGCCTTCTGGTGCGCTGCCCTGCAGTGAAGCAAAAACCGCGGAGTAGGCATCGGGAGTTTTTCTGTCACGCTTCACCGTGTACAAAGGGAACACTTCTTCAAAATAATGCGTCGAATATTTAAGAACGAAAAAAAAAAAAAGAAGAAACTTTGTAAGCGCTGATGTAACAATTACCTTGCACTAAAATTCTGAATAGAACTGCGACTAGTATATATAATAAACTGCAATATTTTGATTTTTTTTCTTGCTTAAATTCAAGAGTGAGCAAGGATACTTGTGTATCGCGGGAAGATTTATATGGACTTCCTTATCAGCTTATTTTTAATGCCATCTCTCTGGTTTAGCTATTACCTTTATATAGGTTTGATCTGTACCATAGTACGATTGTACAGTCGTCCAATAACGTCAAGCCGCTGAAAAGCGCGAGTATATTCGAATGTTGGTTTTGTTATTATTTTCACTTGCCGATTTCACAATAACTATTCCGAATTTCGCGATATGCCGGAAAGAGTAAAGGCCGAGGGTTCCGAAAATATAGTTAGTTGGGGGGTAGCTCAAGAAATCGCCGGAGTACCCCTTAACCCTTTTATTAGTAAAATTGCCGCTACGCCACGCGCCTCCGATCTCGGCAGGTCGCAGTCCTGGCCATCCTGCTGCGTTCGCTCCCGTGCTTCGTGACACTCGCGTGTGCAGGACGGGACCGTGGGCCGTAGCGGCACTGGTGGTAACGCGCACCCAGAGTAGCTGTCTATGCTCCGCTTGCGTAACAGAGCAGCGCGATGACCTTCCCTTGATCCAAGGTGAACGTTGACGCGGCGGTGCAACAGGCGCCGGCGGTGCCCCGCTCCCTCGGAAGCGCCTGCGTTGCGTGGCCTGCATAATCGTCGTTGTGGCTTGCCTTGGGATCCTTTTCGAGCTCGTGCCTCCTTCTCCGCTAATGAGCAGTTGGCACGGAAAGGAACGCGCCACTTTGGCTCCGCCATCTAGTTGCTCCGTGCTTGTTCAAAGTAACTAATGGCGAAGCCAGAGTACCGCATCGTTTCTCTTTTGGCCAGTGATTTCCCTACACACCCCCTACGGGGAGGTGTAACCCCCTGTTTTCCTGAATTCGCAACGACTTCTCTATTCTCAATGCCCTCCCCCATCCCCGCCCCCCTCCCCCACCCTAAAAATTTAGACACCCCCCCTTGATTTCACTTCCTGGGGAAACCCTTGCTTTTGTCGATAACATTTCATTGGCGCAGAAGAGGTCACATATGCTCGAGGACGCACCGAAGCTCTCTGGAGAAGCAGCCTTGCAGAACGCAATGCTTTAGGTGGGACGTATTCTTCGCTCTGCGTTCGCGAAATTTATACTGGAGTCTGACGGACAGGAAGCTTCTTGAACCTTTGAACATTCGAGGTTCCAGTGAGATCGTTAAAACAACGGGTGCGCCGTTTTAAAGCGGCCGACGACTAGCATTCGACAACCCCGCAGCGCAGGCGCTTCGAATGGAGAGGGGCCCACGGCCCCACTGACGTTCGCCCTGCGAAAGTGGAAAGAGGTGGGAGGAGCTTCCCCTGAACTCTCAATCTGTCACCGACTGTAGGGGCTGAAGTACTTACACGTGCGCTGTGGTCCGGTTTTCGTTGACCACCTCTAACTGGTGCTCTCATTATTAAAAAAAAAAAAAAATCGCATTTGTAGCTTTTATCTATCTGATACACATAACGTGCAAAGGTTCAAGAAGCTTCATGGTAATCAGACTTCACTGTACCGTTTACAATCAACAAACGCAAAGCAAAAAAAAAAAAAATAAAAATAAAAAAAAAAAAACCGGCCAGAATTTGTCTTTTTGCAAGGCTGCTTCTCCGCCACGCTCGAGTGTCTTTTCGAGTACGTGGCCCCTTCTCCGACAAAGAGGAGTTGGCGGACAAAATAAGACGAGGAAGGCGATACTCCGCGCAGCGTGTGCATTCAGTCGTTGCCATGGCCGTGTGTGCGTTCCTGTTCACTAAAATGTCCCTTGATAGCATTTACAACGTTGAAAACGGGACATTTGGTTTGTATCAAACTATACCCTTCCAGGGCACTTTTTTTTTTTTTTGCATGCTTATGCGTTTTTTGTTTGAGCGCTCGTGCTTCCAGCTCGCTTTGTCTGAGGCTATGTTTGGATCAAAGGCGCGTTTGTGAAAAAAAAAAAAAAAAGCAAGCGTGAAGGCGAGCTGGTGAAGGTTAACCTAGGTTAACCCATGATTAATCATACCTGAGACTGAGGTAAGAAAAGGAAAACATCAAACAATTGAAAAAAAAAATAAAGACAGGGCAACATCTAAAACTCAGCTGTCGCATTTATTCAGTCCCTGATACCCATAACGCTATCCACATACCGTAAAAAAAAAAAAAAAAAAAAAAAAAAAAAAAAAAAAAAAAAACGGTTTAAATTTGCATTTGTTAAAGAACTAATTGACTTGATGTGGATGAGGCTATGGGTATCTAAGGGTCGATGCTTTTGTTTTGGCGGGTCTGGGAAGGGTGGTAGGCTGGGCTAGTTGGTACCGTCTGGGACCTTTCCGTCAATTCTCGGTGAGTTGCCGGTGGGAAGTATTGTCGACAGTCGGTGCGCGTATTCGCACACTCAAGCTCAGTTCGACCGAGTGCGACGGTTGCCATGGCAACATCTGCGTCGGTTCCAACAAAACGGGGTCAAAACCGGTTTTCTTGGAACCGACGCAGCCGTTGCCATAGCAGCCCTCGCACTCTGTCTAACTCAACGAAGATGTGTGAATCCCCCTTTACTCTTAACTCTACTCTCTCTCAATATCTCTCGTGTCCGTGGTCTGTTCTGGCGGCTTAGTTTTGTTGAAAGCGTTTCTCGCTGCGCACTGGTGTACTGCAGTGAAGTGAAGCGACAAACACAGAGTACGCATCGCGATTTTCTGTCTTGCTTCGTCGCGATTCAGCTACGGTTCAGCTACTCGCGATGGTATGCGACGCCGACCGACGACTGCGCCTGTCCTTTGTGCAGAGCGCATCGTGATGACGCCCAAGAAGTCTGCCGAGGGCCATACGACCATCAAGATGGAGCGGGTGGCCGTTGAAGAGCTGGACGAGGGCAGCGTCATGCACTTTGCAGGGGGAGACCACCAGGGCATCGTCATCAACAGGCTCACCAGCCACGGTGAGGCACCGAAGCCCTACTTCAGCGGAGTTGCGGAGTTGCCACACCGGAGTTAAAATGAATCCGGAATTATTTCGCCCTTCCACGACCCGTAAATGGAATGTCAATGGAATAGCGGCCGCACTGGGAGGAATGGAATGGGAATGGAATTAGGTGCATTTTGTCCAGAATGGAATGGGAATGGAATTAGGTGCATTTTGTCCAGAATAGAATGGGAGTGGAATGGTGCTTTAAGGGGGGGGGGGGGGGGGGGTTCTTATGGGAGCTCTGTTTGCCTGGTCAAATGGGCTTTTCAAACAGCATCATTGCACTTTAGGTAACTGACGGCTTGCTTATCTGACTCGTATACTTCGGTGAAACGAAAACACAGAGAAGGCATCGCGATTTTGTATCTTGCTTCGTCGCAGTGCACCCTCGTGCTAGGGGAAAGCACTCCTCTAAAGCCGCACGTTAAGCACAATTTCTGAATGGAAGTGCGCAAAGCATATGTTTATATAATAGGCTGCGATATTCCCGCACTATATATATTTTTTTTTAATTCGAGGTTTAGCAAGGGCACTTTGTATACTGTGAAAGGATTTATATGGACTTATTTTTGTGTCAGCTATCTTGTTAAGGTATCACATTTATATAGATTCCATCTGTTCGATGGCACGCTCAAAGAGTGAGTTCAATCTAAATCACTGGAGCAGTGGATGGAAGTTTGGGAATAACCTGGACGAGTTCTGTGGGATTGTTTTTTAAGCAGGCATATCTATCTTTCGCATGCCTGGTTTTTGTTATCGTGAAGTTCACATATACAATATCATTAATCATGATGTTTGAAACCCGAGGCTGTGAGGAGCAAAAAAAAGAAAAAACAGGAAACTTTGAAGTCGAAGAAAAAGGCACAGAAGAAGATGTCTCAAATGCAGCTAAATTGTTTATTTTCTCTTCTTATATACCCCCGATAATCACCAAAACCACCCCTCCCAGACATACACTTCGTTCACAATGCACCGAATGGACTGCTAGACACATATGAATCACCCATCGAATTCTTAATACAATCATCACCAACTTCTCTCCCAGACACATCCTTTGAAACACAATAAGCATTCAGCGCCTTTCACATTGCCCCCCCTTGAAAATAAATAAAAATAGACACATCATTTTTTTACGAACACAAAAAATTCTCTGGTCACACTCCTTGTTCCAAGAAACTTTTTTTTTACTTATTATCAAGATGCATCGAGGCCTGAGAGATAAAATTCCCTCTTGTTTTGACGCTTATTGTTTCTTTAACGATGCCCTTGATATCCCTCCTAGGCTCCTTGTGTAAAACGTCTTTTCTGACCAACTTCCGTACACTTGTTACACATTCTCCAATATGTATCGCTATTTCTGAGTTTGACGGATTTATTTTTACATTTTTTAAATGTTCTAGTCGTATATCATTTACACATCTTGACGTCTGTCCCACATACTTAAAACCACAAGCCAGCAAGACGACTCTTTGTTGACACGGAACTGACCGTTCCCGATTTGCCTTCTGACAGACTTTGACCAGACTGAAACGGAGTCAGACGGTTTAGTTTATATGACCTAAAGACATCATCAATTTTAATCGCTTTGGCGAAGCGCCTTTAAATTGTGAGAGATTTGATGAAAAAACGAATTCACTGCTACCTTTTTCTTTGATCTTTATCTCCTTTACATTCATCTGCAAAATGAAGTTCTTGTTGTCGTTGTATGAAACCTTCATACCCGCACTCTTCAGTCTATTCCATTTTGTCTTGACCGCGCCAGCTTTTACAGATTTTGCGTGACAATTTTTCTTGCTTTAAAGAGGCTTAGCATAAATTAGCCGGGACCGCGGTGACGGCAGTAAAACGACAGGAAGAAGGAAAGAACTCTCAAACACAGCTGAAATTCTATTGCTAAAAAAAAAAAAAATGCAAATGACACATTTTTTAAAGAAACATTGACACCCCCCCCAAAATGTTTTTCTTTTTAATTTTTTTTTTTGCTAGGCGATTTATTATGGTTTTAGAAGACTTCCCAATCAATACTTTGCAACAGCGTCGCGTATATTTTTAATAAAGTAAAAAAAAAAAAAAAAAAAAAAGCATCTGCTCGAAACCGAAACCGAAACTTGAGTGGGAGGAACAAGAAATACAGAAGAGGAGAAAGTTACCGGAATTCACATGGCTGTGCAACATATTTTTTTTTAATCAACGCGTATTCGCAACTTTTAAAAGTCACACCCACAAAAAAAAAAATTTGTTATCGTATTTTTTTTTTTTTTAATATTGAGTGTAGGCCTTCAATGATCCACGGCTTTGATTATCTCTGGTGGTTGTGTCTAAATCATAGTAAAAGGCACGTTACCACGGAGAAGAGAGTGAGCGCGGCTCAAACCGGCCAGTTCTGGATCGGCCGTTTTTGGACGGAATGAAAACGAATTTCGAGCCGCGAATTGTGTTCTGGGTAGTTGGGTTCTATATGTCATGTGTAATTAAAAACCGTGGCGAGCATAAATACCCTATCAGTGTCCCTTTAAGGACAAAACACACGGTACGAACACGAACTGTACCTGTTAGTTTGAAGTCCAAAAGACGGTGAAGCTTTCCAACCTATAGTTGACAGTCCGAACAAGCACATACCAAAAAGGGGACCTCAAAGCCGTGCATTGTAAAGGACATATATGTACACAAAAACGTAATCTTCACAAAATAAAACAAAAAAACAACAATGCAGTCTTTGCTGCAGATACCCCCCCCCCCCCCCCCCCACACACACACACACAGACGCTAGAGGTCAAAAGACCTTTTCCACTCGGCCTTCAAACAGAGGGAGGGCGTATTTACTCCGTTTTTATGGTTTCCAATCTAAATTGACTCTTTTGACAGACGTTTGTGGTCATTCTTTTTCGGTTAATATTAGAGACGTCTTATTCCACAAAAGGACACAATTACTACGATCTTCGACGTGCTTTGAAACCTCCGAATACAGATCCTTATTTTGGACACAACGCCTATGTTCTGTCAAACGGTCATTGATACAAAGCTTGGGTCTGACCAACCATATCCCCTTTGACTGTGGTTTGTGCTATATAGGTCAGACCAGACTTGTACACGTTAGTGAAAAATAGTAAGGAATTACATTTACAATTACTCAAGGCTAAATTGTAATTTATTGCAATTAGAATTACCCCCCCCCCCCCCCCCCCCCCCCCATGAAAGTAACTGACCGTTGCCCCAAAAAGTAATCCGTTACTTTCGCGGCGTTACTTTTAACATTATTGTCCTCAAGTAAGAAACAAAGGGAAGAGGGTTATTAAAGGGACCATGAAATGACTTGTTTACTTTTTCCAGATAACTTTTACATTAAACCGTCAATGTTCACTGAATGCCGAACAGGCATCCGTTTTCGTCTCGGTTTATTAACTTCTACACAAAAAATTAATGAAATATCGACTTTTTCTTGACCGCGAAACAAGCCGTGACGTACGCTATTTCCGGAACCGGAACTTCTCTCGGCAGTAGGAGATGGAAGCATTAGCGGCGACGAGTTGGGGTGCGCCGGTAGGTTTTACTGCGCCGATGTCACCGATGTATTTTCTGAATCGGCGCCTCTCATCGCCGCATCGCAGCTGAGCGAAATTCAACGAGATATGTTGCGCTACAGCGACAGCATGGGACTAGTCCCATACACCGGTATGCCTGTTGGGAAGTGCAGCGAGTCTTCCGGTGAAGAATCCAGAAGTCAACCCAACTGTCATTGTTGGCAAAAGGCGGCCAGTGCCAGTCATTTGCAAAGCGACGTAGATGGAAACAAATTGCCGCGGCGTTTTTCGCGGTCTCGGAGATGCAGGAGCGAGCCGACGTTAAAAAAAAGATACGTTTGAACTACGAGTGTCAGCAAGAGCCACGTAAATACCTGTTAACACTCGGAGCGGACGCGCGCGTTTGATGGAAGTGCTGTATTCGCGCTGTTGGTAAGCGCTTCGGGACCGATCTTTTACGATTGCAACTCGATACTGACGCGACACTCGGCAAAGAAAGGTTGGACCGGCATTGCACGTATACCTCTCACGAACTGTTACAGCTCGACAGTGACGTGCAGTCTGTCAGGATAAAAATGGCATACCAATAACAAAGTGTACATACCGTGTTACGAAGGTAATCCATACAGCGTTTATTTCAGCTCTATATCACACAAAACAAGAAGAGAGAATCGACGAGGGTCCCTTTTCGACGAGTGTTCGTCAACACTGCCTCGGAAAACAAGGGGAAGAGATTGACCTCACCTCTTAACGTAAAATTGAGGTCAGCGATCAAACTATTATACGGGAAGGGTCCACAAGGGTACCCCACAAGGGTAGCGCGGGCATATTCCATTCAGCACGCCAGCCGGTCGCAGGCAGACAGACGGTCTTGCGACGAAGCAACGCTGCGCCGAGTCGGAGTGCCTGCTAGGCCTATATTCTGAGAGCTTCGTCGGAGCGCGATTCGCGGCTGTTGTCGCTCTTCTCGGGTGTTTGTGGATCCAGCGTTCTTGTTCGTCGTGGTCTGTTTTAAGTACATTTTTTTCTTGCTGCTTGAAGTCGGCACGCGCGAGATGAACACTTAGAAAAATAAACGTTCAGTCAGTCAGAGTTTTGAGAGGAAGGAAACCAAAGGAAATAACCGTTCTGAAGTCGGCCCTGCCAGCCCTGCCCTACTGCGCACGCGCAGTAGTTGCTTCGTTTACCACACGATAGATGGCGCTTGGCTCTAGCAGCATTATCAAATTTGGCAATTTTCGCCACACATCTCTAATTATGCTACAAAATGTGGGTCTGAATATTATTTAACAAAACTTTTAGGAAACATTCGCCGGCTGTTTATTGTTAACGATCGCGGTGCTGGTGAGGTAGGCTCTTACCCAATAGGCGACGTGGATTCGGCTGACGTGCTCCATTTCTGCGGATGCATCGTAGTGAAAAGGCAGAGCTTTCGAAGGAAAGAAGTCGCAAA